AATGATGCTGTGCAAAGCAACAAGGGAATGGGGTACCAAGAAACAAAAAATAATGCTCGTGCCTGCCCCCAAAAGAGATTACAGTTCCACTTAAGGAGTGTCCGGTCAATAACACCAGAAAAAACGTGTGTATTGGTTTGGGCAGGTGAGTTAGTTTGGTTTTGACTGACTGGGTGCCGTATCGGGGTTGGTGCGGGATTCTGGTCGGTACTGTGGGCTTTTTCTATGGGGGCATAATTCTAATAGATGGCTTCTGCATGTTGGCCAGATTGAGTCAGGTGAGGTGAGGAGTGGCAGTGGGTGCAACGGGGCCCTCTGCTGAATGAGTCCAGCCTGGGAGAATAGCTTGGTTCCCCTGACCTGTGTATCCCTTTAGACCAAGTGTAGGCTGGGGATTGGGGGAAGGGGACAAGTAAGGCTGGAGGAGGCTAGAGCAAGGTTCTTGGAAACATGGCACCATTTATAGGAGACTAAACTCTACTCCTCTCTCTTCTGCCATGAGCTGTATGGCCTTGAGCAAGTTGCTTGACTTCTCTGGCCTCCGCTGCCTCCTGTCTCTGGCACTTCACAGGCTCTTCCCTTGGCCTCAATCTCTGAAGCTTCCACTCCCCTCCACACCCCTGCACTTAGCCTTCTCTTGCTTTAGGACTTGCTTTAGGTACCTCTTCCTCCTCTCAGGCAGCTTTCCCTGCCTCCCAAGCCTGCACTGGGTGCCCCTCTCAGTGATCCCACAGTACCCAGGTGTCCCCTGTCACAGCCCTTCAGCCCTGTGTCAGCATTTCCTGTTTGCTTGACCCCCTCCTGAAGGCAGGTGCATGACTTGGTCCTCATTATATTCTCAGTGCTTAATGCAGTGCCTGGCGAAGAAGCTGCTGGAAGGATGAGAAAGGGGAAATGGTCACTAAGTGACATAAAGGGGGATGGGTATACAGCCTGGGGCCAGGAACCGACTGCCTTAGGTCTTGGCAAGACCTAAGACTTGGTATCCCAACCCAGTGATTCCGCCAGCCACCCCGAATCCTGTGCTCCATGGCCTGGGAGGAGTGCTGGACAATCTTAGCGCCCCAGCCCGCCGACCCGCCAAGCCTCCTGTGTCAGCCAGTCCAGATCCCCAGGAGTGTTTTCCTTGGCTCTTCTCCCTCCTTCACCTCTGCTCTAGCCCCAAGCCCCACTGACTCTGCCTCTTAACAGTTCCGGAATCCCACCGTCTCTTGCCTTCCCCACTGCCCCTGCCTCAGGAGGCCAGGCCACCCTTCCTCTTGCCTGCACCCCTGGCGAGACCTCCTGCGCTTCCCCTTCTTTGAGCTGTGCTCCTTCCAACCTCACCTCCACAGTGCAGCTGAGTCATCTTCCTAAAGTGCACCTCTGACCGCGGTGATCCCTGGGAGAGCCTCTGATGGCTCCTCCTGGTGTGCAGGACAGAGGCCTCTCCACGCTCCCTGCCACAGTCCCAGCCCCACGGGGGTTCCAGCCGTTCTTATTTGCTGTCCCGAATCTCAAGCCACCCTCACCTCTGGGCGTTCGTGTGGTTTTTGTTTCCTCTCCTGGCGACACTCCTCGCCTGTCCCTGACCCCGTCTGCTGCACCCGGGAGACGACTTCCGCTCGTACTTCAGGTTGCAGCCGAGGCAGGTGCTTTTACCCATTGCCTGTTGCCGCCTCTGTGCTGTCTGGGAGTGGGAGCTGTTCTGCTTAACAGCGTGGACCATGTTCTCAGGGCTGTGTGGAGTTGAGCAGGTGGTGCTCGGGACACCTCCAGGGTGCTGCGTAGCCCACAGGAAGAGCCGGTGCTCATGGAGCTGTGCCCTGGGAACTGCCCTGTCCTTGCCCACTTTTGCTGCCCTGCACCTTGCACAGTCTTGGGCACCTAGGAAATGCTTACCAGGGAAGGAACATAGGAATGAAGGCACAAGCAAGTGAATGACCGAACGAGGCCTGCGCTCCAGCTTCCTGGCCCCTTCCTCAGCACCTGTCACAAGTCACACAGCAAGACGGTCCTCCTGCCAGCTCTTCTCTGCTCCCTCTGCCTTCGACCCTCTCACCCCACCCCAGCAGTCCTGGGCGATACAACCCAGGGCGGGCCAAGGGTCAGCATGCAGGTTCCTTTGGGGAGCCCTTTAGGAAGGTGGCTGCGGCCAGGACATAGAGGGCCTAGGTGTGATTTTGAAATTCCTCCAAGCCCTCGAGGGAGTTTGTATCCTGTTGCGGAGTGACTGGAGCCCTGCTTGGCCGTTTGAATGGCAGAGCCCTCTGGGCTGTCCACGCCAGAGGGCTGTGGAGCTGTGGTCAGTA